GCTCCGTAGTTTACGTGAGTTTCGGTACCCTGGTTCGAACAACTCCTGCGCAACTTATCGAGATAGGATTGGGCTTGGAGGCTTGCGATTGTCCGTTCATCTGGGTCATAAAAGACCGAGAAATGTGTTTCGAGGTGGAGGTATGGCTCTCTGAGTTTGAAAGAAGAACGAGGGACCGAGGGCTTGTAATTAGAGGATGGGCACCACAAGTGATGATTTTGTCACATCCAGCGCTTGGAGGATTTATAACACACTGTGGATGGAACTCAACATTAGAGTCTGTGTCAGCAGGTGTTCCTATGATAACTTGGCCTAATTATAGCGACCAATTCTTGAACGAGAAACTAATAGTGGAAGTTTTGAGAATCGGAGTATCGCTGGGGGTAAAATCTCCGACTATATGGGGAGTCGAGAATAGGGATGTGTTGGTGAAGAAGGATGATGTAGAGAAAGCAGTACGCCATTTGTTCGCTGAAGGCAAAGAAGCTAAAGAGAGGAGGAAGAGGGCTAAGGAGTTGGCTGAAAAGGCTCAAGAGGCTGTAGAAGGAGGAACTTCTTACTCCAACCTTATGCACCTGATTCAGCACATGGAAGCAAATAATTGATCAGAGGAACACTATCACGTAGGTAGAAAATCGAAGAGCTCTTGTTTTGTCATTCTTTGAATCGTTAATGGCTGGATGAACCTCCGACTCTTGTATTTGTTCTATTCCTCTCTTCTATTGAAGTAGCTGGATATGTTTAATTATTCCGAGATCAGAAAAGGAATATAGTCAATATCTATGAAAAATTCTATATGCTCTATAATTCAAACCTAAGTTTCTCAGCACATTTCCTGACTCCTTCCATCAATAACTGTGGAAATAATTGTTGTGTACTGCAGAATCCGAAACACAACAAACGAACGAGATAGGAGCACAAATCAACAACCAAAAAACAAGCATCACACAAGCAAGACACCAATTTTACGTGGTTCGGCAATGTGCTTACGTCCATGGGGCAAGGATGTGATAGTTTTCACTAATAGAGAGATAGTACAAATAGTGATTACAATCACTCAATTTAATCTCACAAACAAAACTCTGAAATCCCTCACAAATTCTTCCAGACAAAGTGCTCAAAAGTCTCTCTTTTTGTGCCCTATTAGAAACCCTAAAACGTGTTTGTATTTATATCAAAATCGAAACCCAAACAGATCAGGAAACCGAGCCCAGGCCCAAAACCGCATCGCGATCGACCGGACTGCTTCCCGCTGTCGACCGGCCAACAGGCTGAAAACTCAGCCTACAGAAGCAACATGATTTGGTCGACCGGGCTAGAGCTCGCGGTCGACCGGTCAGGGAGCCGAAACTTCCCCCTGTTATGTGCATGAATCTGGTCGACCGGGCTTGTCCTCGCGGTCGACCGGCCAACACCCAAATGTCTGCTTTGTTTTTACTGTTCTTCGTCACCGTTTCTACAATTCTCCACCTCGGTGAAGTTTTCCCAAAATTGAACCGACCCTGATACCAATCATCCTACTCGTTGCGCCCAGTACAAAGTAACGTAGATGATATCTGTTAGAGTTGGAGGAATTATTTTTTAATGAATTTGGTTTTCACGTTTTAACGGGTAAACTGGGTCCATACAGGTTAACATTTTAAAATTTAAAGTCAAGAGTAACTAGTAATAATAGTTAGATTTAAAGAATATTTTTTTAAATATAACCGGTGTTAACAAGGGGACCTAATAGTAAATATTACTATGATTTGAGGGATGTAGTGGTGTGCAACGGTCAGTTCGGTTCGGTTTTTACCAAAATTTGAATAACCGAACCGAACCGTCTATAATTCAAAACCGACCCGAATTATTGCAAGTCAGTTCGGTGCGGTTCGGTTCGGTTTATTCGGTTCTAACTTTATCAAACTTCTTATCAAACAACAAACTGTGTTAAAGAAAAAAATATCAACAAAGTAGGAGATTATGAAGCATTAAACACTGATATAATGATATTGTTTTTAACCCATAATGATTCAGAAAATAAGTTTAGGGTTTGATTCTTTGACTCTTTGGGGACGGGTCGGGTAGGGTTTAAGATCAGAATTAGTAGTATTGCATTATATTCGGTCGGTTCAGGTTAAAAAGTTTTCAAACCGACTCGAACCGCCCTACTCATAAAACCGATTTTTTCGGGTCGGTTCGGTCGGTTCGGTCGGTTTTTTCGGTTTGGACCGAACCATGCTCAGCCCTAGAGGGATGTAATATAAATTTCCATGATTTGAGTGAGTAATTTTGAAATATTGAAGATTTGAGGGACTAATTTGGTGACGGACCCCGTTCTTCACCAATGTTGATGCCGTCGCCAATACGTGTTACGAACATGTACTCATATTAATCTTGCTAATGATATATCAGAACTTATCATAGATCTTTTCAATTAATTAGGAAGTCTATGTTATTTTTTAAATTTATTATCTTTTTTATTCTTTATGCTAGCAGATTTGATGATCTCCAATACTCTTAATTGGCTTCATTTACGGATGAACTTGACCCTGCAAACAACATTAATAAATGTGAGAAGAGCTTAATGAGATTTAATCACTAAAGAAACAGATAAAAATAGTTTGGATAAAGTTCTCTTAGAGTTTTATAAGTTTAATTTTACTACGTCATGTCTTGATGCCTATCCTATATTCCTAATTTATCTATGTTTTAAGGCATGACACATTACCTTTGTGAACCTTTGGGTTTTTACATCCTCCATCATGGGCTTTCCTTGTGTCTTAACTTTTCATAGATACAGTCATTTAGCTATGCCCGATTCAACTTCATAATTAATTCAAGAGATGTTACTTTAGAGTTTATAGAGTATATGTCAGTACCTTGTGATGCTTCGAGCAATCTTTTGTGTCATTCTACTTGTCATACCATGATGCCCTATACATTGTGTTTTAACTAGTATTTTGCTTTCAAGCAGGCACAATATCAGATGCATTTGGCAGAAATGGAAGCAAATTAATTAAATGTTTGAACATGCTTTATAGCTATGGTTTTATCCTACTGCAAACTTATTGAAATTAATTAAACGCTGCTTCGAAGGTTTTATATCAAGATCCAGTAGTAGGCCTTGATACTGAAACATAATGGGAAATTTGCTAATTGGCATGCTATTCTTTTTCTTTTTCTTTTCTTTTTCTAAACAGAGGAATGCTCTTTATCTGTTACACCAATTACATGTTGATTCTACTTCAGATTTCTGGAAAATATTAGAGGAAACTTGCCTGGAGTTCATTATATACGTGATGTAGCTGATGCTGATTCAGTGATCTCTTCATTGGTATTTATTACTGCTTCTCTTTTCATTATTTAGAGTTACTGAATTCTGAACAGAAATTTGAAAATTTTTTGTCTATGGTTCATCACATGGAGGTCACGATACCATGGATACAAGTCCTTTGGTTTTGATATTGCTGTTGAGGAGGCCCAGAGAGCGATCAATGCAGCCCATGTTGAAGCTTCAAGTGTTGAGAATGACATTGGCGTTGTCAAGTTAATGGGTCGCCACAGTGGTAAGTCTTGTGATTATGCGACATATGCATATTTGTTTCCATATAGTATTCCATGCTTATGCTTGTTTGTACGCCAAATTACCAGCTAGAAACAAGTTCATATTCCTGTTCTCAAGAGATTGCAGTTTATTTCAATTCAACAGTTTCTTTTTATTACTAAAACTAGCCATAGCAAAGTTTATTAACTGGGAGTAAGATTATTAAGACTGTGATTTAATGTACACATTCATCTTCATGTGATTCTACGATGCTTTTTTTTTACTCTTAAACCTGACATAACAGGAGTTACTTTTATGTCCTTTGATATGCAGGGTTCGTTGCAATGTATGCTACTCTCGGCAGCAGAGATGTGGTAAGCATGAGTGATCCATGTAACAACATCTCCTAGCATTAGGAGGTATGATTATGTGTGCAGGTCGAAAGAACACACACGAAAGGAGGGATGATTATGTGTGCGACTGTCCTTGTGATAATGTGTTTCATCATGCTGGTCCTCTTAATTCTCAAGTCAATATTATATTGTTACATTTGTGGACTTTTGGATTGTGTTGAACATATTATGACCTCCGGATTATATATATGTGGATTAATGAATGTTAATATTGTTGGATATTAATTGTTGGATGTGAATCAATGAACGTGAACGTGAATATTGTTGGATGTGTATCAATGAATGTGAATATTGTTGGATGTGAATCAATGATTGTGAACGTGAATATTGTTGGACGTGAATCGATAAATGTGAATATTGTTGAATATATTGTGAATATTGATAGCAACAGGTATACATTCCTAATTGAGGTGCTCAAAAAGAATTTTTTTTGGATTACATACATTGGCGACAGCCATATTCTTGTCGCCAATGAACATTGGCGACGGGACTACTTTCGTCGCTAATGTTCATTGGCAACGACTCTTGCCCTGTCGCCAATGTCCATTGGCGACGGCTTTTTCCCCATCGCCAATATTTATTAGCGATGGATGTAGTTTGTCACCAATGTTTTCTGTCACCAATACATATCTGTCGCCAATGAACATTGGCGACGGATGACCCCGTCGCCAATATTTATTGGTGACAGGATTATTGGCAACGGACTGTTCCCCGTCGCGAAAGTGTATTAGTGACGGATTTTACTGCATTGGCGACGGATTTTCCTATCGCCAATGCTCTGTTTTCTACTAGTGTCAGCATGATGAGCAAAAATATACTCTCACCGCAGTGATGAGGAAATCATCCAAGAAGTGATCGACCTAACCCCTAAAGTGTTTGATATTTGTACTCAGTATAAAATGCCATCAGGGCCCATGGAGCTAAACCCTAAGCCCAGGAATAACGATATGGGTCCATGATAACCGGTCTCAACAGGTCGGTTATTATGTCTTGTGTCAATCTGTCCCAGTTCCTAAGATAGTCCACCCTAATTAAAGATAATCGATTTGAGCCGTATCTTATCCTCAACGTACTATGTTAGGAGATATCAATTAGATACATAACCCATCTAATTGTCGACTTCTATAACTAGTCAATCTACACATATGTCGGCTATATCATCCTATGCTGGTGAGATGCTATCGCGTGGTGACACTTTCTACCTATGTAAATACCTTGTGAGTTAAGTAACTACATCAAGGACCAATTATACATCGTAACAACCTTGGCTATTAGGATGGTGAAAAATGTAGAGGTTGATTTTACCTAGAGAATTAGCACAAATATTCCTCCTATCTAAGGTAAAAACAAGCTAAGATGATGGAACTTTGACCTAGGTTCACAACTATCGACCTGAGTTAAGGATCATCTTCCTCTAAAAGCTAGTCCATTTATTTACTACTTAGGATCTTTTATCAAGTATTTGACTTATGCATCAGAGGGGCTTTGGTATCATTAATTTGACCCTTTTTTGTGTTCTTATGCTAAGCCAAATAAAATTGATTACATCCAAATGCAAAAACCGATTTCTTTCATCAATGCTAATCGAGGGGTCCTCAACAATAGAGTCCAATCTCATGGACTCAATCCTCTAACTTGATTTAGCGCATCATCAATACAATGAAATACATAATCAATCCACTAAAAACAGGTCGAGATCTATCAACTTATTGTAGATTTTAACTTCGTTAATATAAAAAAACTACAACTAATTTGTAGATCTAGGTTCATGTTGCCTCAATCCATAAAGAGTTTTGTGCAACTAATATACTTTA